AGAGATATCGCAATCTAGCAACGAAGAAGCCCATGTTGATGAATTGGAAGAATGTCGTACATCCGTGAAGCTTTCTGTGCGGGCGACGTCATATTTCAGTCGATTACCCGGCCATTTGTGTAGCCAAACTACAGAGGCAGTGGCCCGAGGATAATGAAACTAACGGTGCAGTCGTACCGTATAACAGTGAACATAACCTGTAGCTATTAGATACTAAGCTCCACAGTCATTTCAGAACTACGACTGAAGATAGCATTTAGAGAGCAGCAGCCACTCACTGTTCTTGCTGAAATGACGTCCCACGGGCTCAAGATACACAAAACAGCGATTCAGAAACCTGTGCTTTCGAGAAAGCTACCGTTGGACTACATACAGCAGGTGTAAGGGAGATCAGATCCAGATTGGACAAACACCCAAAAACGATTAGGTTCCTGCATCTCATCGGTCCACACAAATACACATTCTTCATTTGCTCCTAGTTAACAGCTTTTAACATCCGAGAAGCATTGCTGTAAAACACAAACGCTTTAGGCTTACTGAGTAAACTTTCCAAATGGGGCTGCGTAATGTATCGAAATCGTGCGACCTCATCGCTAAAACGGAGACATGGTTACACCCTGACATATGTGACATCGAGGTAGCACTGCCAGACATGTCCGTCGTTCGGCACGACCGAGGCAGCAAAGGTGGATGGGTGGCTCTGAACTTCCGCAGGGACATTCAATGTGAGCTGATAAAGGATCCGGTCAGCAAGCAACATAATTCCCTTTTACCGTCTACGTTTAAAACGCAACGACACTTTCTTAGTGACGGTCATTTACGGCTCTCCTTCCTTTACGCGCGAAATGGATTTCTACCTGTCATCCGCACTAAAAAGGGTGATAAACATAAAATATAGTCACATACTCATTACTGACGACTTCTATTTCCACACTATGGAATTCAATGCAGCTCCCGGCGAACAGTTTAAGGCCGATTTCTAAGTGTCTTTTTCCACGTACCCGCTGTATGGCCACACAAACCCTCCCACCCGATTCCGAGAAAAGGTAAGCCGTCAAAACTGGACCGGGTATAGTGCAACAAAGAACTTATGGTCCAGAGGGTAATGGTCGACGTCCCCTAGCTCCGCAGCGATCAGGTGGTCATGTAATTTGAATACATTTGCTATGAACCATATCCCGTAGAAATTGCAGTCGTAACAAAAACAGCACACTTTAACGACATTCGCTCGAACAGGTATGACAGACAACTGGACTTTTTCTAGCAGACGAAACGCCAGCTAGTGCATGAAAATGTTTCGTCAGCCAGTTTAACACACTAGGTACCGAGACAATAGCGACCAAGATCTTCCGTCCGAGAAACGCCGTCTCCTTTCTAGGAAGTAAACCAAAGTAAGTGTACAGCAGTGCGAAATTCAATCTGGCATATCTACAAAATTGCAGGGCACCAAGACCTGGATAGCCTATGCGAAAATAAGTGACTACGGTACTCAGCTTGTTCGCGATGATAGAATGTTTTACCAGAAGAATTTGGCAGTCAGTATAGTCTTAAATCACAAGCTTCTGTATCAACTCGTCAGTAGTCTCTGTAAGATAAAACGGGGAATTCCTCCTCTTCAAACAGCGGACGGATCCACACGGACACCGAAGGAGGCGGCGAATACCCTGCGCCTACAATATGCTGTAACATTTAACATAACTCTACATAACACTATGACAATGATTGTTTCATCACAAACTTACTCACATATTTTACACGGCACAAGCTGTAATAAAAGCGCTGTAGAGTACGCGTAAGCACAACTCTCCTGGAGTTGATATTATACACATGAAATATTTAGCGGCCGTGAGAGAGAGTTTAGCTGAGACTTCTCCTCGATTCTTTCAACACCATTTTGACGAAATGTACGTGCCCGACATGTGGAAACATGGAAGGATTGCTACTAATATCCATGGAGTTAGTTGCCTTAGTCCAGCCAACTACCGCCCCATAATTTTATTACCGATTCTTGCAAAAGTCATTGAGGCTATTATTTATGATTCACTAACGTCCTACTTGGAAGAAAGTAACTACCACGCATCGGTACAGGATGGCTTTAGACGAAATCTGACGTGTACTACAAAGATAATAGCAGAGGGATCCAGCGGGGCTGAAGCAATAGAATAGACATAATGGGTTTCAATTCGGTGAGTTACTGAAGCAGAGTAATCAATTCTTATGTTTACGTGATTAATCTGGTTGAGGCGAAGTCAGGTGAAGTGGCGTGACTGCCATTGTTATTGGCGTTGGTCTGAAGCCAATTCAAGCTTAAAGAATTGAAGAGATTTTCTGTGCACACAGCTCCGGGTTATACAGCCAAATTGCGATCGCCTCTGCTGCCGACAGTATGACGCACCTGACTGCCTGTGTGTTACGTCCGGGGACACAATAGATCGGTGTGTATGCGTCATGCGCATGGATTTGATGGTCGGAGTCTACTGGGTGCGACAATACCGCATTGATTTCAGCCTTCGTATCACCGCTGTGGAGTGAAGTTAGGCAAAGTTATTAAGCTCAAACGGACAGTCGCCTCATCGTTTTCCCAATTTACCTTGCTCGGCACGAGCAAGAGAAATTATGCACACAGAATTAGGTCTGCGACCGAGGTATCCTGTCTTTATGTTGTTGGCGCACGATCGATGTTGAGGTTAAGCTTACGCGCACAGGGGCGGCAAAATACATTCTCTCTGTTTCTAAGGAAATCTTCGGGTGATCCATTCCCCTATCATGTCGCACTTAAATGGCAATGATAAGTATATCATTCCCCTCTCCGTGGAAACGGGTTTGAGCTTTTGTATTTGCGGTTCCTTGTGCCTCTGTATGAATTGTTGAAGGTACCCGTTATGCACGAGTACGCTTCCTATAAAGCCCAGATCTTCTAGAAGTGCATCATCTGTATACATTCTTCACGCTCTCTCCGTTAGGCAACGGACGTGGTTTCCTTTTGAACTTATCGGAACGAAACTAGCGAAATGGATGTACTGTTCATTCCAGATTTCTTTACTGTGCACCCTTCTCCGCATGGACCCAAAGGTGTCCTGCAATGGAACGGTGATAAAAAGCGATGTCACAACTAAGGAACATAGCTGTCGCCCAGCTAGATCAAGTTGTAACACTAAGTCAACAAAATCAAAGGTGTCCTTGAGATTGTATTTAGCTTTGGCTTATCTGATTGGTTCCAGCCGTCTGATGAGCCACTTAGAGATTGGGTGATACGGCAAGTTACACATGTCTATTATCTGCCTTATTGGTAGCCCGTCCTTGTGTACTTTGTGTGGGCCCTACACTCTTGAAATCACTGTCCCACTCGGTCGGGTGTATACAAAAATATCTGAGCCGAGTACGTGCTCATTCATTAAGCAAAGTAGGAGTTTGATTATGGATCTTTCGATTCCTGCCTCTTGTCATTCCCAGTATCCATTCTACGAAGTTTTGACGCGTCAGGAAGAATGGCATAATTCTTGCAGATGTAGTCCGATGTGTCCATCAGAAGGATCCCGGTTCCTTTATCTGGCCTGGAAAACAGTATATTATTGTTTCGCTTAAGTTCTTTACAAGCGTCTAGATCTCCCTGCTTCAACAGAAGATTGGCACACGGTTTATAAGTTAGGTACTCGTCACTTGCGTTAAGCAGTGTTGACTTATTCTGCTCGGCTGCTAAAGCTGATGAGGACGCAAGCGTAGCCACTTGGAAATAGAGGTTCTCTAATGGGACCTCTGAATCTAGCTGTTTAACAGTTTCGTGGACGACCGATTTTTGGGCCGTGTGAAAGAGCTTGGGGTAATAATTGTCTAGTTGTAATGAGGAGAAATTTGCACATATCTCTCAGGATCAGCAGGAAATAACTTCCGTGGCTTACCCACATTAAGTTATTTGTTCATTGTTATATCAAGTTAAATTCCAGTCTCGTTGTGACTGCTCCGGAAGTCTAGGCAGCTAGATTGTAGTTGATCGCTGCAGGTAAATCCAGACTTCAAGGTTTCGGCCCAGGGGCAATGAATACACGCGATGAAAACAACATCTAACATTGCTTGGGACGTTACGCAATAGCAAACTTGTTGCGGGACGCTTCTGTCTTTACATTCATATCTCCCTATATTTTGTTATTGTCAACGTGCTGTGGTACTCTGTTAACTCTATAGTTGTTGGTTGTTACGATCCAATATATATGTACAGATATAACAGGTTCAGTGTCTAAGATCACTAGCTCTCAGAGTTTGATGAACATGCTTGCTGCCGCTTTGCACCATTAAATGCGTAATCCGCTGTATTTTGCAATTCGAGATGTCTGGTCTGTTGAGTTTCTATGCAAAGAATTGCATCAAAACTGCTTATAATACATGACTGTATCAGTAAGACCAATAAATTAGTCACGATAGAAAGTACGTATTTGAAGGTCACTACAAAGTAGTGCATTTGTCTGGAGGCATAGGATTAACTGATACGGTGATAATTGCCATGATACTAGCAGATCTAACCAACAGATGTGTGTTACACCAATGTGATCTTCAGAGCACTTTATTCATCCACTTCGTGGCTACATTAAGTTATCAGTGAGAGGTTCCTAGTAGTAAGAATGGCTTGAAATTTTAGGATAGTATCGTGTCACCAGTGACCGCATGTCCAGCCTGGTCAAGTCAAGGTGCTCAGTTTCGAATGCAGCTGAGACGACATATTGATCAGATCAATGCTAAAGTATGTATATGATAACCAGAGGAGAGTGGCATATATATTAGAAATGGCCCAACTGGTTTAACTAGACCACCTGTAGTAACAGTATCGAGAACTTTCTCTGAAGTCCCTTAGCAAATAAAACGCAAAAGAAAGAAACCTAAAACTAAGCAGCAATTCGGATAAAACCACAATGTTTTGCTTGTTTCGGTGATTTACATGAACGCTGTTCACTCTTAGTATAACTATTTCTGTAGACGCGGCTTTTACTAACACAAAAGGTACTCACACGTTGATTAGAAGCGGATACACCTGCAAATGCCGTTCATTCAAATAAGGCGGAAACCAGAATCGTACCAAAACACCGTCTTCCACACCATCACTGGCCAACGGTGGGTTCCACATCAGGTTCCCGCTGAAATCAATCATCTGCACTTTGTCGGTAGTGAGATTTATGAGACGGAGAACGACATTTGGAAGTGGCCGGTCTCCAAAAGGCGGTGTTGGATACAGCATATGCAGAGGGGATTGTGATGCACCGACGAGTTTTGCCTTATCTTTCATGTTGTGACCAGGTGGGAGCGTCTGATGCTGTTTGGCCGACTTCGGAGACGTTACAGGCGACCTGTCAGTCAAAGTCGATCGCACTATGCGGGATCGTGTACTAGATTTCTGAAGATGGTCCACATTAGTGGTTTTATGATGTAGTTGTCTGATGTGATCGGACAGAAGTAGATGACTGTGCCATACCATGGTAACTGTAAGGAAATTGTTTTAAAAAGTACATTAAAATAAAATATCTAGGTGAATGTAATGGAACGAAACGCAATTAGAACAACTCGGTAACCATTTGGGCTGACCAGAAGACTATCATTATTTGATGAGGTTTTTTGATCACGTACCGTTTTGTATTTGAATACTAACACCGACTTAGTATTTACAAACTTCAGCTTGTTTCACTATGTAAAGAGCAATGCATTGAAGTCATTGCCAATACCTTCAGATTAAAAGCAGAATTGTAAGATTAAAGGGAAGCATATGTACATAGTGTGTTTAAAAACGAAGTAGGGCGAACAGACTGTAAATGTGAGCTAACCATTCAATTGGCCGTGACCTCTTCATGGTAACATTTACCCTAATTTATCACTTTATCACTTATCACTTATCACTTATCACTTTTCACTGAGCAGTGGACAATCCCTCCAGTTAGACTAGTTGCAAGTTCACTGAGGCTATCCTTTGCCGATATTTGCATTTTGGTCTTTGCAATGCTGCACGTTGGGATCGGATTTATCAGAAAACGTTTTACCATTTAGGTACTCCTCGTTCAGTGTTTCTGCACTGTATTCTCAATATGATGCATAATGGGGGACGTTTTCCGGACGCAGCTTGTACTCTTAATGCCATTTTTCCAGTGGTGCAACTTTTATTTGTCCACGATGCAGCTTTAGGACATCTGCAGTGAATTGTGTAAAATGCTAATGATGTGCCTTCTCTGGTACGTAAGGGTTACATTAATGTAAGATGAATCCACTGGTTGTCAGTTGCAACAGTTAGATTGGTGTGCTCCTGAGAGAATCATGAGGTTATTGCTGTCCACCAGTCGATCAGTCCTTCGGTCCGTGATTGGATATCAGTACTAGTAACTGTGGATAGCCTAACACGTGTAGATGAATAGAGTTTGCAGTATATGGAAGTAACATCGCTAAACCATCGAAACCTCTAACACCTACCCCATTTTCCGCCTCATATATGTTGCCCCAGCCAACTGCATGTTATATCGCTTTACTCAGAATTTTAGGTACTGCACTGTTGTTAACCCTAATGTATTTATATTAATGGCAACATTGTCCAACTTTAGAATGGGTGTCTGCTGAATGAAATAACTATATACCGGCATCGGACTGGTAGCCATTAGTTATTCAAGGATAGGATTGACTATGAGAAGAAACATAATTATTTAGTATATACAGTTTAATGCCTGCTGCGTATGCAAGTTTGTGAGCAAACAAAACTTGGTGTGGGTTTGCTAAGCACCGTCTCTCAGCTTACGTGACCGGACTAGTGCAGTGTTCACTTGCGACAACTGGCATCACCGAAGATGATCCGATTTAGTGGTAAGTGTGCAGACTCGAATTGCACCCGGGTAGTCAGGATTATCCTGCTCTAACTGTGCCACTGCATTGCACGCGAAGGGCGATGAGTTGAGTCAACTAGAATCAAGGGATCAACAAAGTGACAGATATGCTTTGGTATTGTTTAGTATACAAAGCTATCAAAATTGTTACTTATTTGGTTGTGCATATGAAACGTCTGTAAATATAGCTGATACAATTGAGCAGATGATAAGTCTTAGGGCTTCGCCAATGGAATCGAAGAAAACCAATCTTAGTCCACAGAAACACATGCTAACTTTCTTAAATAGGTGAAAGAGTGGAGTCATTTTTGCTAACGGCCCCCAATCCGTGTGGAATTTAAACTAACGTATGCGAACCCTATAATGGAAAAAGACACGTTGGATGTTAATGATATTACAGCACTCATGTAAGCTTTACATAATGATCCATTTATGATATTGGCAGGTCAGACCCATAATAAATCCAACTCATGGCAGGAATGGGTAACATTTGCTTTCTTCGCCATAAAAAATACGTTGAGATTAACGTGTGTATGTCCACCTTTAGCGAGCACACGTGACGCGACGCGGGTTTACCGTCATCTCCAGATCCGTCCATAAGAAGTCAAAATCACCAGTAACAACTGGCAAACCGACAAATGCTAAACAGAAACGCAGTTAGTTATCATAAGTGTGCAATAGCGTTTTCGACTCCAACTCTTGCAATTTGCTAGGTGATGGTAACCAGACACATTCCATCTGCGACGCAAGTAGTATTCAGTGGGCTCACTATGCGGAGACGCGTGGAGCATCACCTGACCTCACTGCACTGTAAAATTCAGACTCTTCCATAAAATCTGAACTCAGTAGATGAGACGGAGGCTGTCTTACATCCAGCATTTCCTCTTTGCGTCTCACCGAGCGGATTCTGAATATTACCGCCTTATTATAGGATAGATCGCCAAAAGAAAGGTTACCAAGGCGGCCCGTTTAAAAACGATTTTAGGAAAATACTATTTGTTATGGTTTTGCAAGCTTCCGGACTATCCTGATCACGAAAGTCAAACAATTGACCGAGAGCAGTGGTGCTGTGTTCACTACAACAAATTCTTGATAATGTTATCGATAGATCGATGATAAAAACTCCCTCATGACCAAACGACAAGGCCGTGCTCCAAGGTTGATGAAATTATGAAGGAATAACAAAAATCTTATCAGATAACTGGTTGGAGTTTTGCAATATTTTACTATTCATGTTCCGACTGAAGGCAGCAGGCATACTGTTACGGATCATCAGCAATTCGCGAGGATTTACTCCCTCAGTAACTTGTTTGTCCCCACGGTCATGCGGGGCGACCGATACAACGACCGTGATAACCGAGAAGACGGAGCGAATCACGTGAGCACATCCTGCTCTGGAAGGCTATGAGGTCATGCGATTCGACTGAAATTTTATAACCAACGAGCTACCAAATAAAATGATTGGCGGCCAAACAACCACACGGTTGACTTTCAACCAAACAGGAATTCAACATCCAAAAACGCACTTCTAATATCCAAAACACTAACCGGTTTGTGAACTAGCGTCCACGGTCTTCTTAGTAGGTTGAGTGACCATAGAGCAAGCCAAGATTCACAACAGCCTTGCTGAAACATTGTACTTCCTAGCTGGTCAAACATTGAGATACCTGATTTTGAGACCAATCTACCAGCTATCTCGTTGCTTCTGAACCATGGAAATGAAGGTGGTATAACTCGGTGTTATAAGACTAACCCTATCTGTGCATATAATGACCACCCAAAAATCCGGGAAGCTGATTTGCTTTGGTGACGGCTATGGTTGCAGAATAAAGACATATCATGTAGTCGTGATTTACTGCCCTGCCAAACTCTAGGTTGGAAACCGGCTCCAAACAAAACCAGTAATTAAAATTTCCACAGAAAATTTCATACAGTCGCATTCCAATCGCATGTGACATTGTTATGCACAAGCTAGAAATACCGGTGACCATTAGCATGCAACGTAAAGCATGTGTGTAAGAAATTATTTCTAGCTGCTCTCTCTACAAACACAATCTCTCCCATCAGATGTTGAACTGCTAACAGGCCGTCGATACTTGATCTCGCGCAAACTAATGAGAAAGTCATGGTCAACGGAATAGTTACGAGCACTCCATTGGTTCTCAGTGATAATATTCTTCTATGGTTTGACAACGTATGTTCTGCTGAATATACTTAAGAAGATAATAACAAATACATACTCTAACGCACTACAAAAGCGTTATCCCCGCTTGTTGTGCTTACATCTTGGAACTTCTTTAGCGAAGGCACCCAGACGTCACCCAGAAAACATTTCCAAAGAAGTTTAGCACATTGGTAACGTTAACTTCGAAACAGAAATCTTCCCATCCTTAGAGAAAAAGCAAGTCCTATTTGAGGAGGAAAACAATTAAATGCACGTCTTTGACGAATTTGGCATGGTTAGCTCACAAGAATGTGTATAAATGCAGAAATCTGGACTACATACGTACCATTTAAAAACTTATTTGTGAACTTAATACGCGAGGATAAGGTGAGACATCAACGAGTTAATGTGGTGATAATGCTAGAACGGCAAAACTCCTATACAGGCACGCTAATGCCTTCGTAAAACAAGATGCGAGATGCCAACAATGGTCACGGTTGAAGCGTGCACATGGTCAGTAGTAGAGGCATCCGCTCTCTTCCGGTTGCATCACTCTCATTCACTCCAGCTGGTAACGGCCATAATTATTCTCTCCATTTCTATTACTCTGCCATTTTTAGCTAATATAATCTTTACTGCGGTAGCTGTTTTGCGGTTGGTATCCTTGCATATACACATCTATCTTGGAGGCAATAACAAATGAACGGATGCTCTGCAGTCTATAGCCAGTGATCTGGCAGAACCACTGGCCGTTTTCCATCAGCGATATCTAGAGCAGAAACAACTTCCACCTGTATGGAAGCGAAATCTCATCACTCATATTCGTAAAGGGGGTAGCCGTGTTGACACTACCGATTACCGTCTGGTAACGCTGGTTTCTGTTCTTTTCAAAGTTATGGAATCAACCATTACAGATACACTGATGCAGTATCTGAAAATCAACAGCGTAATAGACACGGGACAAAGTGGATTTCGTTGAAAGCACTCATGTGTTTCAAATCTGCTAACAGCACGCTGTAGCTGGACTGAAGAAGTATATGGTGGAGCAGAAGTGGATGTCATCTGCTTGGATTTCTCGAAACCGTTGCATCACTTAGGCCACAATA